AAAAAAAAAAAAAAAAAAAAAAAATGCCGGCTCAGACATGTCTGGTCTGTGATGAATGTACTAGGACTGAGACTGACAGGAAAGATTTTCACTTTTGATGGGGGGTGGGGGACTTTCTTCCCCTGGGATCTTGATTTACGGCGTCTCCACAAAGCGGAAGACAACAGTGTCCCAGGGCTTTCAATCTCTAACCATTGCAAATGCACCAATTTTAGGAGGACAGTTAGTTATGTGTAGGGATTTGTGCATTGCCCTGTGGATGAGGAGCTCAGAGGGAACCCCATGCAGGCCCTAGGGAGTCGGCTCTCCCCATGTGCCCTGCTGCCAACCTCCTGATGCGGTCTAGTCTTTTCTGGACTGAGGGACGTGGGCTACTTCTGGCTCCAATGGCTGCTGACCATCTGGTTAGTTAGTGAAAACTCTTTCGCTCAAGGTGATGACGCAGGTATGAGCCCCTGTGAGATGGGCACCCCCTCGCCTCCCCTCTCCCGACCCTTTCATCCGTGGGAGCTGCCTTCCTCTCAACTTCCGCTCCGAGGTCCCTGACCTGGGACTGACCCAGCTCCACCTGCCTCAGCTCCGGGGACCGTCCTCTTTCCCAGGCTCCTGCTGGTGGGGTGTCCAGAGCCCTAAACCCTGGGGATTGCCAAGCCCAGCAGAGCAGGACACAGGACTGTTGAGAGGTGCCCTGAGCGGACCCGCAGGGAGGGGCCATGGTGCTGGAGGCCAAGCCATCGGCAAGAAGCCAGGACCCTGCTTTCCCCCGTTAAACCACGAGGCCTGGGTTTCCTTACAGTGACAGCCCCCACTTGGGAGGACACCAAGTGCTCCTCTGGGATGTACGTCCCAGCAAGGCCACCTGAGCAGGTGGATGAGTCTTGAAAATGTAAATATAGGGGAACTGGGTGAGAAAGGAGTATAAACCAGGACCCTAAGTGCACGTATCTGAAAATCAAAAGCACTTCAAAGGTACAGCTTTACCCAGCTTCACATTCGCTCATTAATTAGTTCCGACCCTTCAGAATATTGTTGTACCTGCAGCCATGTGGGGTGGGGGGTGATCCGAGCTGATTAAATTCTCGGCTAACGGACAGGACTGTGCCCAGCAACTTTGCTGATGCTTCTTCCTTCCTCCTGTCCTTCCTCCCTCCCTCCTTCCCTCCCTCCCTCCCTCTCTCCTCTTTCACAAGCAGGTGTGACCAGCGTGTACAACCTGACGCTCATGATTAGGGAGAATGTGGACTATTTTGTTGAATAAGACAACATGGTTTAAACACCCCAAAACAATCCCCGGCACAAAGACAAATAGTACATATTAGTGTCTTCTTTTTATTCTTTCACTAACAAACTTAGTGTTATGTTTCCACTGGGGAAAAAAAAAAGATTGTAGTTTAAGAGATTGGAAAAAAAATGGGCTTAGTTTTATGGCCTCGAGATAAAATAGTGTTGGGTTTTTTCCCCCGTGAAATCTTTTGGGCAATTAAATGCTGGGTTATGTCCTGATGATCATACAAAAGCAGAGCATTTGAGCAGCTTTGATGGGGGGATCTGACCTCAAAACAATGCAGCGCAAACTCTGTCTTCCTCCTTTCTTTATGTATTTCCTCACACGCACCTCCTTCCCGAGGAGGAACTAAGGCATTCCGTGGGGGAGTGGCCCGGGGTCAGGGCTCTGACCCATCGGCACCTGGTGATTTCTTCCAGACTAGACCACCGTTGCATCTCTACACGAGTCGGGAGTGGGCTGTCTGGGCCTAGTGTTCTTTTCCCCTCTATTTTAAGGAGGGACATTTACCATAAGCAAGTCAGCATGCGTGCTACGCGGGGTCAGTGGAAAATCTATCCTGCATTTTGTGGTTTAAATCTAATAGTTTAAACCCCAGATTTTTTTTTTTTTTTGCGGTACGCGGGCCTCTCACTGTTGTGGCCTCTCCCGTGGTGGAGCACAGGCTCCGGACGCGCAGGCTCAGTGGCCATGGCTCACGGGCCTAGCCGCTCCGCAGCATGTGGGATCTTCCTGGACCGGGGCACGAACCTGTGTCCCTTGCATCGGCAGGCGGACTCTCAACCACTGCTCCACCAGGGAAGCCCTAAACCCCAGATTTAGAATCAATTGTCCATCACACTCCTTATTGTGGGGCACATCAGCCCCCATGGATCTTAATGCTTCTGAGCCTGTGTCCTGTGTCTCCACGGAGATGCTGCGTCAACTTCACGTTTCTCAGCAACAACTTAGCAATCATTATGGTTAATTCCTTGGAATCCAGATGATAATTTCTCATCTTTCATCACAGCCAGGGCTTCTGTTTAGGGTTTCTGTCCAGTTCATCTCCAGCTTATCTCCCTGTGCCCTACCGGGCAGAAATAAAAGAGCCCACTTTTAATTTTATGATCAAAGTAATTTCCAGTCACTCAGGGAGAAGATGGAAAGAAAGAGTTTTGGAACATGGGGAATAAAGTCCCTGAATCCCGCTTCTGCAAGGGCTCTGTGAAGATGGGCTTCCCCGAGTGCTCCTGGTGAACTGAAAGAAGTTTCATCCGTATTTAAGCTGTCAGGATTTACCGAGTGCAAGCGGGAAGACAGTGTTTAAGTGCCCGTGCTTCTCAAGCCAGAGCCCGGCATGGACCCTGCAAATGAGATTCTCCACCTCCCGTGCTCACCTGAGCAAAACGCACGCAGCAAACACCTCCTACAACTCACGACTCAGAAAAGTTTGCTAAGGTTCCACTGCTGAGTTAATCTTCACGATTAACTTTACGATTTTCCCCAATAAGACAGGCCTGACCACTCTGCCCAGAGCGTCTGGCGCTCTGGATGGGGTTGTTCTGGGCTGTGTTCTCTCCTGCCCGACTTCAAGGGACGTGCATTTCTTCAGGGCACTTATAAATCTCAGATGTTTGTGTATGTTTAAAGCTGCACATTAACTTAAATGGGAAAGAGTGTTTGTACAAGCCAGAGCTTCTGCATACGTTTTGCAGGCCAGGCTAGCAAAAGACAGGTTTAAATGTAAACTTCTAAAAATATACACTAGGAAACTCTTTTTTTCTGGCTGTTTAATAACCTTAGAAATAAACAATTACATGGACAGATCTTCAGTATCACGTCCGGAGCAGCGTCCAGAGGCAACCTGGGCAGGAAGGACAGGAATCTGCAGCCGCATTTTAGCGCCGCCCCTCCAAGATGTGAGGGTCACCCAGACTCTTGGTCTTGGTGTCTGTACGTCTTAAAATCGACAGTAAAGATTCCCACCTTTCCCACTTCTCGGGGTCGGAGCAATCTACTGATTAGTGTATGTGAAAATGTTATCAAAATTATAAATTTCATATCAAATAAGAATCATTATTAACAGCCCCTCAAGAATCGCTTCCTCATGGAAATACCTGGAGCAGTCACAGCCATCGCCTGACAACGGGCTCAATAATGTGGTCCAGGTTTGGATTTGAGAGGGTGGTTTGTTTCTCCTCCCTTTCCAGACCCTATGGGAAGGAAAAGGTTCTAGAGGGAGCAGACCTGTGACTCTGGTGCGATGGAGGAGGGTGGCTTGACCTCCACAGTCTGCTGGAGAGGAAGCCCTGGGGGTGCAGAGGAGTGAAATGCAGAGGGTGGAAAGGGGTCCCAAGTTCCAGCACAGACCAGCTGCCGCCGGGGCTTCTCGTGTCCCAGAGAAATCATGATGCTCCAAGTCGGGACCAAGGGCAGGCGAGAGCCTGCGTCCCAGACAGGACTCATCAAGTTACATTTTAATTAAGTGGCTGCCCCACTGGGCCAGCCTCCCAAGAACACAGAGTAAAAGGTAGATTAACAACGAGGAAGGAAGGTAAAAGCCTGGGGATTAACTCAGAATATTAAAAATTTGACAAAAATGTGAATGAAGGAAAGAATTTAACAAATAAATGATATAAGGAAAAACTGCACAAATAAACAGCTTAAATATGTCAGGCAAGGACTTCCCTGGTGGCACAGTGGTTAAGACTCTGCACTCCCAGTGCAGGGGGCCTGGGTTCGCTCTCTGGTCAGGGAACTAGAACCCACATGACACAACTAAGAGTTCGCATACCACAACTAAGGAGCCGGCGAGCCGCAACTAAGGAGCAGACCTGCCACAGCTAAGGCCCGGCGCAACCAAAAAGAAAAAAATGTCAGGGAAGGTGACTGGCTGACATCCGCACAGTCTTATGAAATTATGTAGCATTCAAGTAAAAAAGAGCCTTCCCTTCTGTGGGCAGCGGTGGGGCGACCACTGCAACTGAATGTGTCAGACAGGATGTTTCTAGTCAGAGATACTAGATAAGAGATCATAGAAAAAACCCTTGAAAATACTGAGGGCAAGTCAGCTTGAGCTCAGCGTCCCCCAGCAAACACTTCCAGGAGCAAGAGAACCAAGTCAAGACACTTAGGGAGACGTGGACATTGTTTCTCTCCTGTGCATTTTAATGGTGCTTCTAGAGACAGAAAGAGGGTGGCGTGGATGCTGGGGATGGAGTGGCTGGGCCCGTGAGCCATGGCCACTGAGCCTGCGCATCCGGAGCCTGTGCTCCGCAACGGGAGAGGCCACAACAGTGAGAGGCCCGCGTACCGCAAAAAAAAAAAAAAAAAAAAGAATTAAGATTAAATTGCCCATCAACTTTAAGTAAGTGAATATTTGAAAGTATTTCTATTAGTAATTTTGCACAATCGTCCCTAATCTCTTTTTAATCAACATGTTTATTAAATCTTCTCTTTATAACAGGAAAGTAAATTTCAGCAATTTATCCTTCCATGTTCATAAATTACTAATTACTGTAGGTTTACCTTGTATAGTCTCACTTTCACGTAATACATTTACTTCCTTTAGATAAATTACCTGCACGTAAAGCAGTGTGTTACTGGCCACTTTTAAGTACCATTTCCCCACCAGTCTTTGTGAAACATCACTGCTTTCCAAGGGAAGTCTGAGAGTAGCTTTCCAGATTTTCTGGAATTGAATTTCCCAGAAAAGTGGAAAGATGTTGGACAATCACAGCTATAGAGCTGGGAAGTATTGAAAAACTACTCACTAATCCTGCTGATATATGCGTTTGGGGTTGGAGTACACAAAGAAGCACAACAAAGAAGCAATGTTGATTGGTGCCTTTGCCCCCTCCCTCCCCCCATCCTTCCTTCTCTCCTTCCCATTCATCACTCAGCCCAAGCTAATTTAAACTATGTTATCCTGGAATCTGTGCAGAGAAATGCATGTGACACTCCAAATCTTAAAATTTGCCAAAGTTTGTGGCTGTGATCCTCCAGCCCTGCACGTAACTTCTTTTCACATCGAATCTAAACTCTAAGAGTCAGGAAGGCAGCGCTGGATCTGTTTTGTTCTCTGCTGTTTGCCCAGAAGCCAGGAGGGCCTATGGCCGCGGCAGATGCCCAGTCATATTCTACGGAGGACACGGACCTGGCACGTCTCTCTAAATGCTGTATGTACACGAGCACACTTAACCTTCCAACGACCCCCAGGTAGGTTTGACCATCACCCCATTTTAAAGGTGGGGAACCGAGTCCCAAAGAGGCCAGCTGGCCTGGTCACAGCACTAGTCACAGGAGTTGCTGGGTTCAACCCTGGGTGCCACCCCACTGCGTCCTGGTTACCATGTCCCCGGGGGGGGGGGCATGTCTGTCCTCCACACCCATTACGCGTGCAGAGTGGAGCCCGCGTCCGGTTAGTGGCTGCCGTGGCTACGTGGATGGAGCGCCGCCTCCAGCAGCCGTAGTCTGGACTGAGGGGGCTCTTAGCCCTCAATTTGGGACATTTCTTATTCTACAAAGGGGCAGGTGTTACCGAATGTGAGTGGATCGGGCGGGATGCCTGCCACCAAATTCAACAGTATCATTGATGGAGCAGAATTGCCTTTGACTTAGAACATTATAGAGTAATTTTTACATTTCAAAGTTTTTCATGTACTTTATCCTAGGCACCAAGTTACATTGTGAGGAGGCATTTTTATTTCCATTTTACTAAGCTGCCCAAAGTGGAAGGGTTAAATCATATGTCCTGACCCCAGTGGCCTTGCACTTGACACTGCAGGAGCCCCTGGGCGTCCAGAATGAGGGGAAAAATGGGCCAGTCGTCTGGCTGTTAGTCGACTTCTAACATCCATATTTTTGGACATCAGGTAGATGGTCTCTTTCAAGTCTTAGACTTAGTCTACACTGGCAGAGAAAGTGTGTGTCTTTGAAACCTAACTAGCCCCAAAGTCAATTATTTGTTTTCAATAATCATTCTCTGGTAGGTCATTACCAGTTCGCTCCAAACTTTGGAACTAGAAACAGTTGAATTCAAATAACCAGCTAGCTATTTATTATTAGTAGGTTAGTAGTGAGGTGTTTTCACCAAAAGTGTCAGCTTAAAATTAAGCATCACTTTCTCCCAACCTGGCTTGTAAGAGCGGCCATGACCTTGATGGTTGGATGGACTGTTTCCTGCCAGTTCTGTCATCCTGAGAAGGGGACTCCATTAGTGAGCAGTTAGGGGTGGGGGCAGGAAGGAGTGTGTTCAGTCCTCTGTGTGTGTGGAGGCAGCTTTGGGGCAGCTGGTCATCTACTTTGTCACTGAGTCTGGGTCTTATCTCTGCTTTTCTTTCCGTGTCTTCGTGGGGAAGAGAGTCCTGGTTCCCAAGCTCGAGCCCACGCTAGGCTACGCTCCTTCCTGGTGGGTGAGGTGCCCGAGGGCAAAGCAAGAGGCATTACCTTGGGTCATGACGATCCCGGCCAGTGCCTTGTGGCGGGCGTGCGCTGACGCCAGGCCCACGGCCAACTCGTGGAACTTCTGCGTGACCAGCTGGGACACCGTGTCGGCGAATTCCTGAAAGACACAAGCAGCAGGCCTCTGTGACGGCTGTGCCGCTGCCATGTCCTCCCTCCTCCAAGCTGCGACCCCACGGGCGCCTGAGGTCCCCCTGCCCTGCGGCGCCCTGCCACCCAGGCACCGTGACCCCCCAGGCCTCGGGATCCCAAATCTGTGGCCTTGATTCTGAGACTCAGCCCCTGGCGTGGCCCCTGGGCACAAGCCCCTGAGCCTATGCAGAACCTTCGGGTGGGGGGACCGTCCCCTACATCCCTCCCTGCCTTGCAGAGGCTTCCTGAGGGGGGTTTGCACACACACATTGAGCAATCGGTTCCCACTTTCTTCTCCGTGTCACAGAACCAATTCTAAACTCCCCCCGCCGTGTCCAGGGACCGCTCCCCACAGCTCCTCCACAGCCTGCTCCTTTCAAGTTTCTGCACACGTGCATGTGTACAAACACACACACACAGATACACACTCGTGCATGCACGATACACACGTGCACATACACATACACACAGAGAGACCCATGCACTTGGCACACATACCCATGCACACCTGTGTGTACATGCATACACACATGCATGCATACATTCAGACATCGCAGCCACACACGGGCACACACATGCCACACACACACAAAGATACATGGGATGTGTACACGCACACAAACACCAAGGTGATGTAATCCCGGTTGTGGAGTTTTCTGAAATGACTCGTGTTTCTACAACAGTGGCACATGTGAGACTTGCAGGCCCGTGTTCCCCAGAGAGCTAGGCTGTCGACTCCTGCCTTGCTCCTGGTCCCGCGGCTGAAGCACCTGCAGTGGCCCCATCACGGCTTTTCAGTCGACTTTCACAGGCTTTGAGTCGGAGACCCCGGTGTGTGTCCACGTGGGCCCGGTTTCTTATCCTCTGACCTCGCACGGGGGTTGGGGGGGCGGAGGGCAGGGGCCCCATCCAGCTGGAGGATCGGGCCGCTTCTGCCGGTGTGAGCACGGGACCATCCCCCCCACCTGCTGTTCCCCCTGGCAGGGAGGTCCAGCATCCGCGGCCGCGTCACGGGGCGCCTCGTCTTTCGCTCTGGAATCGAGTTCTGGCGCCTTCGTGTTGCCTCCCGTCCCCAGGAGGCGAGGGCGGAGCTGGTGCCCTTTCCTCCTCCAGTAACTTTCCAGGCGCTTCCCCGCACCTTCAATGGTCCTTTCCCTTCTTTTTAAAATGAAGTTTCTGAACGTGCAGGAGGTGATGAGACCGACGACATGACAGAGGAGACATCTATCTCATCCCTTTGTGTCCATTGGACGGGGCCCTGTGGGGCCTCAGAACAGGACGCCCCAAACCACTGAACAATGACATAAATTACACAAAAGGCGGCTTCATGCGGAAGCCCAGAGGCCAGTGTGTTTCGCTCAGGGACGCAGAGCAGACCCAGTGCCAGCACCGCCTTCTCGCCGTCCCCGCTTCGGCCTGCAGGGAGGTGCTTCTCACTATAGAAGCCACGTCTCTGCCAGGATGTGGCCGGGATGGCAGGGATGGGATGTCAACCCAGCAGCCTTGGCTCAGACCCTCCTCTCGAAGCCCCACTCCCTGCTTCTGGGGAAGTGGCTCTCCTGTGGAGCTTCAGCGGGACCAGCCCGCCTACAGGGAGTCGGGGCTGAGCACTGCTCATGAGGAGGCGCGTTACCAGGCGGCTTCATCCTGGGTGCCTGGCGCCCTGGTGGAGCCATTCCAGGAGAAGTTGACACAGAACAAATCAGAGCTTGTTCCTGACTCTCGCGGTTACGCGGGTGAAGGGTCCCCCCCCCCCCTCCGCCTGGCGAGGCGGGTGGGGCAGCGGACGGAGGTGGGTTGGGTTGTCCAGTCTCTCCAAGGGTGATGAGGACCTCTGCTAGTGGACATGACCTCGGACCCAGCAAACCTCCCGTGAAAGGGCTGCAACCCCAAGGGGGGCCCGGGGTTGGGGGGGCTGCCCCACCGGCCGGTCAGGCCCCTGGTCTGTCCCAGCAGGCCTGACCCTGGGGTTGGGCTCCTGGCCTGCAACTAGTCCATTGTGCCCCATCTCTTAACACCGTCCTCAGCTGAGGACACTGCTTTCCATCACCACAGCCCTCGGTGTGGAGCTGGTCCTAGAACCCCGTGCAGCGTCTGTTTGGGGCTTTGTCTGTACTTCGTGCTTCCCCAGCAGCTCCATGTTTTTAATGACGGAGCCCCAACTCCACGCACATTTGAGGTAGGGGCGTGGCTTGCACGCATCTCACACTTTCTTTGTCCTGCCGTGGACGGGTGGTCCCGCGTGTGTCAGTGATGACGCACATCTCGGATGGAGGACTGTGTGCACCCACGACCTTTTCAGGGGTGGCAGAGCACACACACTGGCTGGTGGGAGGGTAGACATTTCAGGAAAAAATTAGTGACGTTTCTTCACCCGTCGTTCTGGTTATTTTCTGACTCTAACATGCTGTCTCAGTCGGCTGAGCTGCCGCCACCAGCACCACTGGCCCCGTGCCCTCGAGGGCTTCCCTGGTGCCCCACCTGGGCCCAGGTTGAGGGGACCATGGCTGGGTGCCAGAGCTGCCCGCCTCCGCCTCTGAACCACCCATGCTCCATCAAGACCTTTTTTTTTAAAACATCTCCTCCCCTTTAATCCTTTTTTCTTTATCCTTTTTTTTAGGGGTCTTGACATTTATGTTAAACATGTTTCTCAGTTAACATTTTATAAAGGTGAATTGAAAAAGAAAAAAGCAAAGATTTCTTTAACTTTTCTTACTTTGGGTGAAGACAATCTAATTAAGATGTAGAGGGGTATTTAGCTGGTTAAAATTTATCTCTGGTACTTAACCAGTATTACTTCCTAGGACTGCTTTGAAAAGTCTTGCTTATAGGGAATTTTATGGAATGTTTATATATTGAACTATGACCCTTAGCTTTTCTGGGTTTAAAAGTCAAAGGAAGAGAATCACGAATAACCATCTCCATCGGAAAAAGAGCATCTCCTCTATTACAGGGACCCGAGTTGTCTCTTTACAGACCTTCTGGAGTCTTTGGGAAATGAACAGTTTTTGGTTTTGGAAAAGGCTGGAGAAACGCAGTCTGCGAGCTTTTCTGCTCTGAGGCCCCCTTTCCCCCCACAAAGCCCGCCCCTCCCCTGCCTCTCCCCGGCACCCCATCTACTGCACCACAGCTATTTTCAGTGATTGGCTTTAATTGAATCACATACATGATTATAGCTGTATGTAGTTCTTCATAGTTGGATTTGTGTATGTAAGTGACGTTGTCATTGATTACATGGGGTGTTAGAAGCCAGGTGGAAACTCGGAATTCACGTAGGGAGACGCAAACCTACCATCTAATTTAACAGTAGGAATTTTTTATGTTTTAATCACTTGGGATTTAATATATACAGTCAACTTTGGTTACTGTGAACCCAACTAATCAAACCCTGAGATAATTTGATTTTTCCCCACCTGGCACTTGGTTTATGACAGAAGCAGTTAAATGCTCAAAAGCAGGCTTGCATCGAGAATTATTTTTATAGATTCAAATTCCAGGACACGTCTGCGGGCTGTGTTGAGTTCCTTCGGTCTCCTAGGGTGGAGACGTGCATCCCAGCTAACAGCAAACTACTTAAAGCATGTTTTTTGAGCGCCCAGGCCGAGCGGTCCTGCATCACTGCTTTCTGGTCTAGTCCATCCTGGGTGGGAGAGGAGGGATCCCACAGAGATCCCACGTCTGGCTTAGGTCAGCCCTTGGGCACAAGTACAGTGAGAGTCGTGGTGGTGAAGCCCCCCCTGGAAACCTCAGGGTGGGCGATCTGCCCATCAGGACAGTGAACAGGGGAGGGCCTGGGTGGGGCAGGAGAGGCTGGACCTGGGGACAGTTGAGAAGCCGGCTTTGTTATATCGAAAGCCCTACGCAGGGAGTCTCTAAAGATGCAGTCCAAAAGTCCCGAATGAAGTGTCACTTGCAACATAAATTCTTTGTTAAATATGAAAAAGAGAGACATCCAGTTGTACTCGTTACTGCTGGTGATTTAGCGATTTAGAAAATGCCTCTGAAGGTCCCTTGGTAGCAGGAGAGCGTTATTGTGTCTTCCGCAATTTGGTCACGGCCTCTCCGAGCACTTAAGTGGCAGGGAAGTGTGATCCCCTGAAGGCCCCTCCCCCTGGAGGCCTCAGGACCCCGCCCCAGCTTTTCTCAGGGCAGGAACAGGTGGGGTGGATGGGACAGGGGGCCGTAGAATCTGCAGTGCTGCCCCGAGTCCCTGCAGGGGCCCGATGAGCCTTGGTCTGAAATTGGTCAATGCTGTTCTTGCAGAAATTGGCACAGGCTGGACATTTGGACCAGAAACGATCAGAGGAGACAGGATCTGGCTTCTGGTTAAATCATGGTGATAATCAGGTGCTTCTGCTTCCAAAGGTTAAGTGGGGAAGTTGGCCCTGCATTTAATGAGCTGTGTGTTACTGTACTTAATGAAAAACAGGAACGCGAGGCTACCTAGGCTTCTGCGTGTTGTGGTCTGCACGCTGCCTGTCGGCCCAATTACCACGGCAAATTAACAGCATTATTTAAATAGGAAAACAAACTTTAAATAGGAACACCAAAAGGCTCAAACTCTGCTCATTTCCAACACTAATATTTTGAAAGGCTTAAGTAAATAAAATGTGTTCAGATTTGCAGTAGCAGTCCTCAGGGTAAAATTGACATTCAGCCAAAGTGGTGAGGATATTAAAATCGATAGATTATGAGGGAGAGAGCCGTCAGTAAATATTTTCCTGTTGAAATCCCTTCTTTGGGTTTATACTGCTGAAATATCAGAAAGGTTAGATTTGCATATGGGCGGGGCCAGGCGGGACCTGGGCCACCCCGTGCCCTTCCTGTCCACCTTGTCTGCAGCACGACGGTGGGCGGACGCCCTGGAGGTGGGCGTGCCAGGGGCCTAGGGAGTGGGGCCATGTGCCCCCGCTGTTGGGACTCATCCTCCATAGAGCACGGCCAGCTTGTGCTCCTTCTTGGCCGTCC